TGTTTAGGGTGGAGTATGTAAAGGTATTTTAGTATGTCGTGTCTCTTGCGATAAACGGTGCATCTATAAACATAAAGAAGCTGTTCGGAAGAGCTTACAATCTAAATCTCATTCGAATGCGGCGTGCAGGAAAAGGTCTCAGCCACCTGGCCTTGGTGTACTTGTGAGAACATCCATAATCATTAACAGCAGCTTGTGAATCCTTTGTAAAATACATACTATCTGTGGCATCTCACAGCTCAGGGTAAGAAGCTTTTCTCACCAAGAACCTTCTAAATGTCCTTTGTTAAAAAGGTCTCACAACTGAAAAGTAATTTCAACTTACATGATTCACACTCAGGATTCGTGTATAAAAGTCTGCGAAACACTACGGATCGATCGGTGCCCTACCTGTGTCTATGTGAAATATTCTGATACCCAGAAAGTCAGAGGTTGTATGTACATCATGGGAATCAAACACAAGTATAACCATCAGTTCTTTCAATAACTTTAGTTGTGCCTTATAATATAATAATTAGATATGTCCAACTTCCACTCTGACTCTAGAGAATGGAGAACGTTGAATCTCTTACCTTTTCACTACACCTGCATTAATTGAATACTTTTAACAATGTTATAAAATAAATGTATGGTCACATAGTACCATAACTATAGTCCACTGTCACTGATTTGGAGGGACTGTCCCTCATTTGGAATCAAAGCCATCTTTCCTTCTTTCCTTTTCAATTGTCCTTCTTTTTGTCATTCAAATATGTGAAGCGGCGCTGTCACCCAACACAGTAAACAAATAATGTGTGCAAAAACCAAATATATATACTATTCAAATTCAATCTTCTTTTTAACTGTTTGTGTAAGTCAAAGGTAATTATCTTTGAAAAAAGTCTCAAAAGTGACTAGTAAAGTAGCAAATATCCTGTATCTGTCATATCCTGTGACAGCTCCGTGTCAGAATAAAAAAAAAAGAAACAGCAGTGTTTCTCTCCTTGGCGGCCGGGCGCACGAGACTCCCGGAGCGCCAGGGAGAGTTTGCTGTTTGGAGATCAGTGTCCCTGGTTAGCAGGTAACCAGGGACGCTGATCTCTCTGCAAGCGGCCGGAGGCAGCCGTAAGATCACGGCTGGCTCCACCCAGCTGTCAGAAGCAGGCTGTCGGCTGGCCAATGGCCGGCTGCTCGGCCAGCTACAGATTTCAGCGCAGCTCAGCCGAGCCGAGGCATATGCGTTCGGCTCGACTGAGCCGCTCGACCACATTCGGGAGCTGTACGGGCTATAGTGAATAGCCCGTACCGCACCCCTTCGGTTCTACTGAACCAAAGGGGTCCTGGGGCCGAAGCTAGCCGAAGGATCGGCCAAAGCTACGGCCAGATCCTTCGGCAGCTTCGTGAATAGACCCAAAAGTCCTTCTTTTTGGTCCGATGTATAGATATTTAAACAAATGTACTACAGGCAGTCCCCGAGTTACATAAATCCGGCTTACACACGACTCCTACTTACAAATGGAGGCTATTACTGTACAGCAGGGGTAGTTGTAATGCTACCGTGCTGACGAGAAGTGCCCATCTTTTTGGGTCTGGTTTGTAGTACTGTACGTACATTACAGGAAGTTGGCTCTTGTTAGACGTGCAGACGAGAGGTACCCGCCTCTTCTTTCGGGTCACTGTGAGGTTTTTACTGCTGTCTGTATCCTCATTAGAAAGATTTAATCTCACTTCCTGTCCTTGAGACACCAGGAAGTGAAAGGAAATCTACGTCTAGGAAGGGAAATTCAGTCCTGTAAGAGTGATAATGGGAAAAAGTTGTCTCCACGGAAGCTTTATATGTGTGTGTGTGTGTATATATATATATATATATATATTTTATTTTTATTTTTTTTAATTATTATTATTATTACAGATATTTGCATAGCACAGCCAATTTACGCAGCTCTTTACACCGTACACATTCGCATCAGCCCCTGCCCTCAAGGAGCTTACAATCTAAGGTCCCTATCACACATGCGAGGGCCAATTTAGACAGGAGGATTAACCTTCCAGCATGTCTTTGGAGTGTGGGAGGAAACCCAGACAACCACAGGGAGGACATGCATAGTGAACTGCATGGCAGCACGGTATCCTAAAGATCAGCTTCCATTAATGTAATTTTTCCCATCAATCTGATCACATTTACATGTCTATTTAAAATATTTAAAAATACCACAGACCCTCTTTAATAGCACATACAGGCATTCAATAACCCTATGATATGAAATGCATTTTTAAAAGCCCATTCTAAATGTGAATAGTACAACATATGGTGTATACGTCGATGTAAATTACCCAGAATCCTTTGCTGCATATTGTCTTTATATATGAATATTGTCTGTATACGAAAGCACAGTTGCATGTTGTGATTTCCTCCCATTCCATGCAGTCATAGCCGGGTGTTGCAGGAGAGTGGGGAAAGGCTTAAGCATCCAGTAATAGCGCTTCATTGTACTGTAGTTACGCTCACATATTTATAATTGAACAGCTCAGCCAGTCGGAACCGCACATTTACAAATTTACATTCCAATATTTTCACAAGGAAAATGCTTAACGTGACCCAGAGCAGATCAGCCAGCACACAGCTTACTAGGCACAGCCTGTATAGATGTTCCTAAAGAGCAACATCTTCCATCGATAACAAAGCATGGTCCCTATATGCTAAGGGCAAGGATTTTCAATCAGGTTCTTTGCAAACATGAATAGCTGAAAAGAAGGATATATAAGTATTAAAACTATTTAAAGGGAACCCGTGATTTGCCCCTACAAGGCAGAACAACAGGTTTATTTTAATAGTGGCCCCACCACCTGCACTTGAATGCCTTGCTTTCGCTCCCCCCACCACCACCACCACCACCACCACCACCACCACCACCACCACTGCATTCAGAGTAAGGAGGCCCTATTTTTATTGTTCTTTCTCCTGCCTTCACTTTGCCTGACCCATTTCTCCACATCAACCAATTAGATTTTTTTCATTGCCCCATGCTTAGAATACTCTCCTGAAACACCTTCATAAATGAGGCACATTGACTTTATTTGGGAATCCTGTGTGCCTTGCAAACATAAAGACTAGGATGAGCAAGAGGAGAAGATAGAAGGAGTTCACAACCTTGCCCCTGGCCCATAAGCAAGAGGGTATTAAGGTACAGTAAGTATAAACTGGACAGATACAATAAAACTGTGCTACTGATGTGTCTCCATCTTGGCGTTAAGCTATCTTACTTACAACAGATTTGTCAATCCATAGTGATGGACAAATGTAGCAGATACACATGCGGGTCTATTTACTAAGCTGCCGAGGGCAGCCGAGTGAACAACCGACCCCAAGTGAAGTGAGCCGAACACTGTTCGGCTATTCACTTCGGGCTTGTACGGTTGATTTCATCGGCTTGCTTCGCAGAAGGAGTTCGACTCAGCCGATCCAACATCTGGATCGCCTGAGCCGAACCTCTGGCAGGCTACTCACTGCTGTTCGGCCTATTCTTATAGATGCCGAACAGCAGTGAGTGAATAGCCGAATGCCACTGAGCGGGACCGAGCAGAATAGAAAAATAGTAAAAAAAGTAAAAAAAAATTTTTGCCCATTGGAATGCATTGCTAGATTCCTATTGGCTATTTCAATTTGCAAGTTAGCTAGCATTGTACCCGCCCTCTGCTGATGGACCTGATGGAGAACTGCAGCAGAGGGCGGGTACAATGCTAGTTTACTATTGGCTATCGCAAATTGAAATAGCCAATAGGAATCTAGCAATGCATTCCAATGGGCAATTTTTTTTTTCTATTCTGACACAGCTCCGTGTCAGAATAAAAAAAAAAGAAACAGCAGTGTTTCTCTCCTTGGCGGCCGGGAGCAGGAGACTCCAGGAGCAACAGGGAGAGTTTGATGTTTAGAGATCAGTGTCCCTGGTTAGCAGGTAACAAGGGACGCTAAGATCACGGCTGGCTCCGCCCAGCTGTCAGAAGCAGGCTGTCGGCTGGCCAATGGCCGGCTGCTCGGCCAGCTTCGGATTTCAGCGCGGCTCAGCCGAGCCGAGGCATATACGTTCGGCTCGACTGAGCCGCTCGGCCACATTCAGGAGCTGTACGGGCTATAGTGAATAGCCCGTACAGCACCCCTTCGGTTCTACTGAACCGAAGGGGTCCTGGGGCCGAAGCTAGCCCAAGGATCGGCCGAAGCTATGGCTAGATCCTTCAGCAGCTTCGTGAATAGACCCCCATGGTATCCAAAAAGTGAATGCAGGTAATGAAATGGCTGCATTGCCATTCTGCCCATAACCAATCTGTTGGCCTTTAAAGTCAGTGATGTCCATTACATGGTTCCAAGCCCCTTGTTTTTTTGGGCTGGTAATTGGTCCATGTATATGCACCTTCATTTTAAATACTGGTGTTTTTATACACCTACCGACCTCAACAAAATTAACAATTGGGTGATGATGTGTTCTTTAGTTAGTATACTGGTTTTCTTAGTGAACCTTCTTCTGGAATATAAATATACAGTATGTTAACTATATGCATTCAATGCAAACTAATAGTTTATAGTTTAGGTGTGTTAAAATAATCCAGTTATATATTATTTACCTTTATATGATATTAT